GTTTTTGGATCTTGTCCTGGGAGCTTGATCTGTCATCCAGGCTCTCTGGTTTGTGGCTGCACAACTATGCACTGCATTCCCGTATCATGATTTTTATTTCAGCAGAATCAACAGTAATTCTACAGACTGTCATACCTGGCCTTGCCAATTTCAGTCTTGTCTTTTGTGCATGGTTAATCAGCTACAAATTTGTCAAATCTGGCCTTCTAAATAAGCAGCCGGAGTGAGGCTTTGCTTTCTCGGAGCAAGGAGGAAGGAAAACTTGCGGTTTTCGAAGGCTGGTCTGGTGCGAAAGGCTAGAAAGAGCCGGCAGCTGTGGTGCATCCGCTCCAAGCCGATCCTGAGCCCGGAGCCCACGCTGGCCTCTGGGTACCTAAGGGCTCACTGACCCCGGCTGGCGGCTCCCTTCCCACGCTTGCTGTGTTCCCCATGTTGTCTTGCTGGAGGCCGTGGAGGGCAACTGTGGCAACGACAGACCACTGCTCACCACAGGGACAGGTGTGAGGCCATTCTGGGGCTGACTCACAGGCCGGGGAGGACAGCGGGACCGGCTCACCGAACGCCCTAGGAAGCCACCGGGAACTCACCCAGCACCTGCACGTGGAGGCGGCTGTGGCTCTGGGAGAGGGATTTGTCCCCAGAGTGGCCATGGGTGTCACTGTGCCTGCTCCTGGGACAGAAACCACAGCTGCCACGGTGGAGCAGGCACGAGCTGGGGTGCGAGGAGCTGGCCGGGTCACACACACAGAAGAGATGTCCTCAGCTCAGGCGTGGGTGTGTAGTGGCCCCGTGTGTCCTCCTGCCCTGGCCCTGTCTGGACTGTGGGGCATTTGAGGGTCCCTCCTGGTGGGTGGGGCAGGATGCTCCCAAGGCTCAGCACCCCCAGCCCCGCCGGCAGCCTCCAGGGGAGCCTTTGTCCGGCACTGGGAGCCTCAGCGTGCTGCCCTTCTCCAGGTCACCTGCTGGGGCCAGAGGGGGCCGTGGCGACAGGCACCGCACAGTGAGGAGAGAGCAGGGGGCTCCGCCTGGGATCCAGGGGTGTCCCTGTCGGCACGAAAGCACCGCACACCGCTGGGTGCACCATGAACAAAGCTCTCAGAGCGCTGCGCCTTGGGTCCCCGCGCCTGGGATCCCCGGAGCTGCAGGTGCCCGTCTTCCTCCCTCCCCACCCAGGCTCCTCCTCGTCCCACTCAGTGAGGGCTGGACGCCTCCGCTGTCTCCCCAGACCTTGCTGGGGCTACTGTGCTGACGCCTCAGCGGCTCTGTGACCCTGGAAACACCGAGCAGCAGGTGCCAGTGCGCCCCCGTGGCTCCCAGACCCCAGAGGCTGCACACCCTCTCCGTGTAGCTCAGATCACACGTGTCACAGGTGCTGCACACCATGTGTGTCACTCAGGGAACACGTCCCACACGTGTGCTGCACACCATCTGTGTCACTCAGGTCACACATGTCACGTGTGCTGCACACCATCTGTGTCACTCAGGTCACACATGTCACGTGTGCTGCACACCATCTGTGTCACTCAGGGAACATGTCCCACACGTGCACTGCACTCCCTCTCCCTGTCACTCAGGTCACACATGTCACGTGTGCTGCACACCATCTGTGTCACTTAGGTCACACATGTCACGTGTGCTGCACACCATGTGTGTCACTCAGGGAACATGTCCCACACGTGCACTGCACTCCCTCTTCCTGTCACTCAGGTCACAGGCGTCACAGGTGCTGTACTCCCTTTGTCACTCAGGTCACACGTGTCACAGGTGCTGCACACCATCTGTGTCACACAGGCCACATGCCCCACACGTGCTGCACACCCTTTCCGTGTAGCTCAGATCACACGTGTCACAGGTGCTGCACACCATGTGTGTCACTCAGGGAACATGTCCCACACGTGCGCTGCACTCCCTCTCCCTGTCACTCAGGTCACATGTGTCACAGGTGCTGCACACCATCTGTGTCACTCAGGTCACACATGTCATGTGTGCTGCACACCATCTGTGTCACTCAGGTCACACGTGTCACAGGTGCTGCTTTCCCTGTCACAGCCGCGCGTCCCCTCCCCCGTGCTGTGGGCCAGGCTCCCCCGGCGTCCTCTGCCCCACTGGGTCCCGGTCTTCTCTGCCGTGGGGGCAGCTGCTCAGCAAAGGGTCCCACCTGCTTCCCTTTGGCCTCATTTCTTCAGGGTCCACGCGACGCCCAGTGGCTCTGAGGAGGCCTGCAGCCACGGGACCCTGAGAACCGGCAGTGGGGCTGGGCGTCCCACACTGACGCAGAAGCACGCAGCCGGGACACGGCCAGGGAAGCGAGTGGGCGTCCCCCAGACCCGTCCCACGCGAGGGCTCAAGGGGGCCCATGCCTGAGCATGGGACCTGTGTGGGCCCATCGCGACTTCACTGTGGGGGAAGCTCCGGGTGCGAGGCCGGAAGCCGGTTCCTGGGGCTCCCGAGCCGGCGTGCTCGCGGTCGCCGGTCCAGGGGGCTGGAACCAATAACTCTGGCAGGAGCTATCTGGGCAGCATTAGGTGCCATTCACTGACAAACGGCGGACGCTTCATTAGCTAATGTGGAAAAATCACGCGGACACAACCGAATTATTAGGGCTTGTCTGGAAACCCTATTCCGTAATGAGTTATTACTTTAACAGAACAGCAGCAATCTGTTACAATTAAGCGCTCTAACGGGGAGCTTTCTCCGAAAGGGGGCAGGCTCTCCGGAACCCGTCCCCACGCGTGGCTGCCCCGGCCGCCGCCCGGCACGCTCCGCTCTCCTCCGACTCCAGGCACAGCCTGGTCCCACGGGGCCGCGCGGCTCCACTCCACCCGAGGTGCGGGGCTGGCAGACTCGGGGGTCGGAGGTGGGGGCGCGTCCCGCTCGGCTTCCTTCCCTAGGGAGCGGGCTGCGTGGAGCCGGACTGCAGAGATTGGCTCGCACCGTCACTGCCCCCACCCGCTCTTTGGGTTGTTTTTGTCAGAAACAGAAAGCAAAGCAAGCCAGAGTGCAGGGCGCCAGACGAGGGGGAAGCCAGGGTTCGGGGGAGAGTCACCCTCCCCAGGAAGCCGCGCCCTCAGGACGCAGGGCGCGGTCAGAACTCCGAAGCTCGTGTTGTTTCCATCCGAGCGCTGGCACCTTGATGCAAGTGGGGACTGGAATGGATCCAAGCCAGTCCGGGTCTCCAGAGCCTGAGCACGCAGGCTCGCAGCTACCAGCTCTGGGTTAAGCAGTCACTGTGGTCAGGCACCCCCGTGGGAGCCCAGCCCGGAGCCCGGCTCTGCACTTCCGGCTGCTCCGCGCGTGAGCAAGGAAGGGCACGAGAGCAGGACAGCCCGTCCCACGCGGTGTGGTCCATGGGCGGCTCCCCCCCCACGGCTCCCCCACGCACACGGCTCCTCCACGCACACGGCTCCTCTGCATACACGGCTTCCCCCCCCCCACAGTTCCCCCCCATGGCTCCTTCACACACACGACTCCTCCATGCACACGGATCCTCCATGCATACAGCTTCTCCACGCACACGGCTCCTCCACACACATGGCCTCTTCACACACACAGCCCCCCCACGGCCTCTCCACGCACACAGCTTACGCACATGGCTCCTCCACACACACAGCTTCACGCACACGGCTTCACGCACACGGCTCTCCACGTGCCGTGTTTGCTGCGTGTGCTGCAATCTCTCCTGCTTTTGTTGGTGGTTGGGGAATGTAATTGAACCTGAAGCAACAAGATCGGCGTTGGCTCAGGCAGCACCGGGGGTTCCTCTCGCAGAATACGACTGCGTGCTGGTGGATATTTCTGTGCGGTTGTCAGACTCCGTGAGCAGGACATCGATGGTCTTCACAAGATAGTATGTTCTCCGTGGCTCGCTGACGTGCCTTGACAAGGACAGCAGGCTTGTCCCTGGCTGGGAAGATGGCGCCTGCGCGCAGATGCCGGACCCGATTGCATCTCCACCACCTTTATCTGCCAATGCTCGGGGATGGGAAGTTTCTGACTCATTGCGGAAAGCCTGGGTGTCTCTGGCGAGGAAACGCAGCCTCCTCCGTGTCGCCTTGCATGCACTTGAAATTGCTTCCATTTTTGAAATGATGAAATTTAATTACAGTATTGGCACCTGTTAATTGATGCCCGCCATTCACCACAGGGACTCCATGAATTATGTGGGAGGCGGGTCCTGCGTGGTAGAACGGAACGGCTTTCTCGTCACCGTGTCGCCTGTGGTCCTGAAGCCACAGGAAGCCGTGAGGATCAGCGGGAGGTGGTGCAGGCTTTCAGCCCGCAGTCAGGATGCTGGACGGCGCCTCCGTGTGCTTGGGCTCAACGCGCGGCTCCAGCCCGACTCCAGCTCCCTGCTCACGTGCGTCCTGGGCAGCCGCCGTGGTGGCTCAGGGAGGGATCCTGCCACCCACACGAAAGACCTGGACAGAACTCCCAGTGTCTGCCCGGCAGTCTCAGCCATTGTGGGCATCTGGGGAGCGAACCAGTGCACAGGAGATCTCTCTCTCTCTCTCTCCCTCTCCCTCTTCCTCTCTCACTCTGCATCTCTTTCTCCATGACCCACTCTCTGCCTCTCAAATAAGAGATTTTTTTTTTAGAAATTATTTATTGGAAATGCAGAGAGAGAGAGAGAGAGAGAGAGATCCTCCATCTACTGGTTCACTCCCCGATGCTTGCAACAGCTGTCATTTGTGACTGCTTGAACCCAACCCCCTGCAACCCCAGGCCAAGCCAGGAGAGAGGAGCTCCATCAGGGCCCCGCGGGGGTGGCGTCCCCACCGCTGCCCCGCACGTTAGCAGAAGGCTGGGTTGGAGCACAGAGCAGCTGGGCCTGGGGATGCTGGAGACCCAAACAGGGGCTTCACGCACTGCACCATGGCAACCACCAGGATAAAGACGTTTGAAACGGTGCCTACGATGGCGCTCCTGGCGCCCCCGTGTTGGCACGCAGCACCGTGGCATTAGCACACCCGCGTGGTGTAGGTGGTCTACTGGGGGCCCTGAGCCACGCTTGCTTCCGTGGACGGGGGCTCCTGCCGAGGCCCATTCCTCTTCCCTGCCCGTCCGTGGAGGGAAGGAGCCTCACCCGCGTCTCCCGCTGAGGGCCCCGTGTCCGGGCCACGGATGGTCCTGGTCTGATCCCGTTCTGATGCCACAGAGAGCATCGCTGCTGCCCCCCAGAGCCCCTTGGGCCGAAAACCTCCCACTCGGCCTGTGCTGCCCAAGGGATGGCGTCGGAGGCCCTGGCATCTCCGGGCGGTGCCAGAGCCCACCACCATCAGAGTCCAGGCTCCAGAGAGAAGCAAAATCTAGGTCCACCCGGGGACTGGGCCTCCCAAGAGCACTCTGGGAGGAGCTCCCTCAGGGAATGCCCCGGATGAGGTCCAAAGTGAGAAAAGCTTGCACTCTGCTATTCCCAATAATTTTGTTGGGAAAATGAGAGAAAAGTGAATAATGGCCGACCATTGACACGAAGATGATTTTGAAGAAATGGCACTGAGCTTTGCAGATCTGCGAGCCATCAGTGGAGAAACGGAGGAAGGGCTAGTGGGAGGGGAGGAAGGAGGCAGCTCTGTGTGCTGGGGGCCTTTGGGACCAGGCCAGAAGGTGGTGCTAAGACACCCTCGCCCTACCCGCCCACATGCCCTCAGTACGAAGTCTCTCCTCTCTGCGCAGATGCTGTTCCCGCCTCAGTCAGGTGCAGGTGCAGCAGGAGTGGGTGTGACACAACAGAGGTCACCTGTCATTGGCACCACGTCACCCAGGGTTGTCTCCAAGCAGCTCGACCCACCCAGCGGGCTGGTGGCCCTGCCAGTGCCTCCGCCACAGGGGGCTTCTGCCTGGTTTCAGGTGCAGGACGGGGTGCCTGTGCCTGCAGCCAGGTCCCTGGGGCTCCCTCCTGGTCCCCTGGTGTGTGTTGGCATGGCAACGCTGGGCCAGCGTGGAGACGGCGGGGTGCACGCCGTGTGCCGCCGAGGCCCGCTGCACGCGTGTGTGCATGCGTGTGCGCGTCGATAGTGGGCTCGGTCCTGTGTTTAACCAGACAGACAGCACCGCGCAGCCCTGGGAGGCAGCATCTGGTGCATAGAACCCGGCCCCATAATTCATTTTTAACTTTCCCTAATTGCTCCAGTCATTTCATCATTACAAATACTAGGTGTCGAGGCGAGGAGCCGCGGCTCTCCTGCCTGGAAGGAGGGGGCCGCTAATCTAATTAGAAAGGTAGGGAGCTGATCGGCTGCATTTTCTCGTAGTTAGCATGCACAAGTCAGGTCCCAGCAGATGTGCTGTGAAATTAATTTCCTCTGGTGTAACCAGAGACTCTCTGTTATGCAATTTCCATTTCACAGATGATAACCTATTATCACTTTATTCAAGGAAAATGTGTTAATAGCCACAAGGAAAATTGAATTATTCATATTTGCTCATTTCCATTCTGAAGCGAGCACTTCTCTTTTCGTGCACTGGGAGGAGGCTAATGTAAACATGACCGAATCCCTGTGAATTGGCTCACGGAAGAGCCTGTTAGCCGGCTGCCTGGGGACCGCGCCAGGCCGGGCGGTGGCGGGTGCCGGGGAGGCGAGCGCAGCGTGGGGGAGACAGGCGGCCCAGGTGGCGCCCGAGCCAGTGGGAGCCGGGTCAGAGGCGTCAGCTGTGCGCGCCACGCGGGGCGGTGGCGGGTGCAACAAGTGGCTGTGGCTCCCGTGGGTACAGAGCCGTCGTACAGGCCCACAGCCGCCGGCATCCAGGCCAGGTTCTGTGCACAGGCCCACAACCGCCGGCATCCAGGCCAGGTTCTGTGCACGGGCAGCGAAGCCACCCCCGGATTCCGGCCTCCGGCTCTGGGCTGACTGCGTCCACCTGTGAAAGAACGGGTTCTCTGGGCACCTTTCAGGAGAAGCCGCCCAGACCGGGGTTAGGGCCCCCTGGGGCTCCCCTCTGAGGTCAGCCACCTCAGCGTCAGCCCAAGCTCCCTGCACAGCAGGGGTTTCTAGGGGTGCCTTCCGGATCCACGTCTCTGCCAAGGCCACTTCTTTCCTTGTCATTAGTTACAGGGCCCGAAGTCCAAGGGCCAGGACTCAGCAGATGCTGGTCCTTCAAGCTTCCCAGAGACCGGCCCCAGCCCACCTTCGGATGGGGACTTCCGGTGGGCGCTCCGTCTCGCTCCAGCACCAACGCGCTGCCGGCCACACCAAGTCCTCGGTGGCCTGGAACAAACCACAACCATCTCTTGTGCATGCTCGCCCGAGGGGCGCAAGGCCCAGCCCACCCTGGCCCCAGCTCTCTCGGGCCGCTGGGCCGGCCACGGTGCTGCCTGCCTGCATGGCGCTGAGGCTGGCTCCGCATGCACAGGTCTCACCCAGCACCCGGCTTTGCAAAGGCTGAGCCCTGTGCCCGGGGGGCTCCCCAGTGGGCGCTGTCCCAGAACGGCCCCTCCTGAGGAGTGGGACAGGAGCGAGAGCCCGGGCAGGGCAGTGACGAGGGGGCGGGCACATGTGGAGGGCGTCCAGGCTGGGGGCCCCTCTGGCACTCGGAGCGTCCCGCGGCAGGGATGCCAAGTCAGGCAGGCGGGGCTGACCCACTCTGCCTTCTCCCTTCTCTTCCCGGCAGTGGGACCCAGACATGCTTCCGCCGCCTCTGCTTTCCGTCTTCTCCCCCGTGAGCGGCAGCTCCTGGTCCCCTGTCTCCTGGCTTAGTCCACACACAGTCATTCGGCTTCTGTGCCTCCCTCGGACCCTGCTGGATACAGAGCCACAGGACAGCTCTGTCCCCAGTCTCGGGAGATTGCATCCCACACACGGAGACAGACAGGAAGCCGGCTAAACGGATTATTCTGGCCCCAAGAGGCTCTGCGTAGCCTGCCTGAGGGGCAGCTGGCGCAGTGTCCACCAGGGCAGCTGACAGGAGCACGTCTCAGTGTCAGCAGGACCGCAGAGGGGCTCCCTGAGGGGCCAGGGGAGGGCCCGGGGCGCTGGGCTGGCCTGGGGTGGTCTTGGGAGGGGCTGGGGCCAGGGCTTGGGGAGGAGCAGCGGTGGTCAAGGGAAGTGTGTCTCATGGGAAGGGTGGAGGGAGGGTTAGGAGTAAGGGTCGCCGGCAGGAGGGAGTGCAGATGGACCCTGCCTGGGGACAAGGACAAAGGGGTCCCCGGCCGCTTCTGGCCTCTCAGAGGACAGCTGTGTCCAAAGCGCGGGAAAGGCTGAGGAGTCAGTGCAGGGGCGAGTCCGATCCCCCCACAAGTGATTGGCGCCAGGTGGCAGGCACTGAAGGGGTTCCAGCCGGCTGGAAGCTCCTGGACGACTGGCCACAGAGCCACGCCCACGGCAGCCCTGAGTCAGTGGACTCTCTCAGGTTCGTGGCCTGCCCTGCAGGTGTCGGGGCGAGGGCCGGGGTTGCCGGTGTGCAGGATGGTGCTGGGGACCAAGAGGGCCTGGGCCTTGCACACCGGCACCAACAGCACGCGCACGCTGTGGTCGCCAGAGCATCTCTGCTTGAGAATTAATATTCTCCTCCTCTGAACATAGGATCGACACGGAGACCATAAAAACGAAGTGGGAGCTCTTCGGAGATCATACAAATAAAGAACGCGTGGAGATCACGTATGCGGCAGAGTTCATCCTTGGCATGTTGCACTTGGAGAGCCCGGGTCTGAGCCGGCGTGTTAGAATGCCATAACCGAGCGCGCAGTGCCGCGGGGAGCACGGGTGTTCCCGCAGGGCCGTGGTTTGGGGTGCGGGTCTCCCCAGGCCCCTCGCTGCTGTTTGGCCTGGAGCCTTGGGACCAGCATTTCAGACGCGGCGTGCGTGAAGTTAACAGCAGGTACCGAAGCAGACCATCTTCTCGCAGGTGCACTTCGATGCCGGCCGCACCTGCATCCGGGCTTCCTCGACGTGCCTGACCTTACTGAGCCAGAGGAAGCCAGCGGCCGTGGTTTGCGGGAGAGAAGCAGTGACAAGGCGGAGGCCCTGTTTTAGGCCTGTGTGTGGCTGTCCCACGTTTCATTTCTCAGCTGCCTGATTTCCCCTGGGTGCGTGTGAACTCCCCTGCAGCTGTGAACAGCAGTGCAGAGAGGGCCTGTGTGTCTACGTGTCCACCGGCCCCCGAGGGAGCGTCCTGTAGAGCTGCAGCATGGTCACTACCGGGCCCTGTCGCACTCGGGTTGCCCCAGTGTCCATGCTGTGCTGTGTGAGCTCGGTCTGTGCCTGTGTGTCCAGTCCTAGGAGCTCAGTCCCTGTGGGAGGACGCCTGTGTCCACCAGCGCCTCAGGCAGCTCCGTGACCCCCCGCTCCCTCCTGCTCGCCCTCCCCTCCCCAACACCTAACACTGGGTCACCCCCCGCCCCGTGTGCGCTCCGGCTCCGTGCTCACGTCCTATGGGACAGGGGTCAGATCACAGATCACACAGACTGCTGGGTCCGGTTCTCTCGCACAGCGTCTGCTGTGAGGTCCGCCCCGGTCACCATGTGTCCCTCATGCTCCTCCCCAGACCTGCGCTGGAGGGGGCTGGAGCCGTGTCCACTCGGCCAGATGAGGAAGGCTGCTGTGCATACGGCCGTCCAGAATCCACGCGAACTTCACATTTCCTTCTCCGTGGTACACGCGGTGGGAAGTCAGGGTCTGGGCCAGGGCAGTGGCGGTGAGGGGTGGAGCATCCGTTGGCTTTCCCGGCAGCCACTGGGGCTGACCTGTTCAGACGGGGCAGTGCCGGCAGCCTCTTCCTGCTTTTGTGTCAGCGGCTCGGGTGGCGCAGTGACAGTTCTGTGTGTGGTTTGCATGGTGCCCACCTGGTGGCTGGTGACGAAGGCGTCTCCACGTGTGTTCCCGTCTGCTGTGTCCCGTGTCTGCGTGTCCCTTACGGGAGAATTCTGGCATGTTCCATGTCTCTCTGCGTGTCCTTAGATGAGAATTCTGCCATGCCCCATGTCTGCGTGCTGCTCAGGGGAGAACTCTGGTGTGCGCGTGTACTCTCTCACTGTGTGCCTGCTCCTTTTCTGCTCACTCTGAGAGCTGTGTGTGCTGGGACGGTGCAGACCGGTTCTGTGTCAGCCCAGGGCTTGCAGGATTGTGCGCTGTGCCCAGTGCCTGCCTCCACAGGGGAGGTTTTGGTTTTGATGAGGTCCGGCTGGTCGGTCTGCTTCTGCGGCTCATTTTTTATCTCGACACCAAGAACTTGTCCAAGCGCTTGTTTCTAAACACTGCACTTTCCTGTTTGTGCTGACATTCGTGCTCTAGCTGAGCTGGTTTCTCTGAGCTGGGAGGTTTCGTGTGGAGCGGTTTGCCTGCTCACGGTCGTCCACAGCAGCCCCACGCCCTGCCAAGGCCTGGCTACCTCCCGTGCAGCCTTTCTCACCCTCCTGGAACTCAGGCGGCGAGCAGGTGCGGGCTTCCCTCTGGCTGACCTGTGTGCAAGTAGTGCTCCGTGTTCAAGAAAGAATTCTCCTGCGTTATTAACATCTTCAAAGGTTGCGTTAGGGGTGAGCGTTGTGGCACGGTTTAAACTACCTCTCGGACTGCCTGCATCCCAGACGGGAGTGCCTAAGTCCTGCTGTTGCTTCTGATCCAGCTTCCTGCTACCGTTCCCTAGGAGACGGCAGAGTGGGCCCTGCCCCCACATGGAGACCAGGGTGGAGCTCTGGCTCCTGGCTTCAGCCTGGCTCAGCTCTGCCTGTTGGCGGCATCTGGGGAGTGAACCAGCAAGGGGAAGCTCGCTCTTTCCTTCTCGCTCTCGCTCTTGCTCTCTCGCTCTTTCTCCCCTGACGCCCTCTTTGTCATTCTTACTTTCAAATAAATATACTTCAAAGATTACCTTATCCATTGAAGCAACTGTGATTTTTCCATAGAAGATTTGGAGGAAGAAAACCTGCATTCCGTCTATTAAGCATCTTGCTGGGACTTCGATGGAAATCATGTTAAATACTTCCGTGTTGAATCCAAGGTGTCCGCTTATTCAGATCTTTAGTTCGCTGGTGCTGGCTGATTTTCACACCCAGATCCTGTGTGCGCTCTGTTTATACACAAGTTAATCAGTCTCCCGAGAGCATTTACATGTGGTAATCGTCTTTCACCTTAGTTACCACGGGTTCGCTGTTGGTGCCTGGTGTTGAAATGGGACTGACGTCTCAGGTCCTTGTCCGCCTTTGTCACTGAACTCCCTGGGTCACTCGAGGAGGGTCCCTGCGGTGCTGATGCGCCTGCACCAGGAAGACCACCGTGCCTTCCTCCTCGGCTCACCTGTGCGCTTAGCCAGTGGTCTTATTTCTGGTGGTTTTCTCTGCTTTAAAAGCCGTTCCATGTTGTGTTGACACAGCCGTGTCTTGGGTGTGCGTGTGAGTGTGTGTGTACTTGTGTGGTATAACTGTTCTGCTATTGTATTTTCAAATTATATTTGTCACTGAACTTGTGAATTTTTAATGAAAGTGCATTGCTGGGGTTTTCCTTTCTGCTCTTTAATGTGTCCGGCCCATCACTGATTCTTAATCAGTGTTGTCTACTCTGCTTATGCTGAAGGAAGTCACCCATCTGTGAAAGCTCAAGTCCGCGCTCGCGTTTCTGACCCTGCGTCTCGCTCCCTCCCTTGTTTCTTTCCGTTGCCTCCCTGTGTGTTCTGTGTTCTTTATTAGGAACCCAGTAATTTTTGCCTTGTCTTTTTGTTAAAAAACATTTATTTATTTATTTGAAAGGCAGAGTGGGGGTGGGGGGAGGGGGAGAGGGAGAGAGAGAGAGAGAGAGAGAGAGAGAGACATCTTCTATCCTCTGGTTCACTCCCATTTGGCCACAGTGGCCAGGGCTGGGCCAGGATGAAGCCAGGAGCTTCCTCCAGGTCTCCCATGCGAGTGCAAGGTCCCAAGTTCTTGGACCATATTCTTCTGCTTTCCCAGGAACATTAGCAAGGATCTGGGTCAGATGTGGAGCAGCCAGGACTCGAACTGGTGCCCATGAGGGATGCCGGCAGCACAGGCAGTAGCTTTGCCCTCTACGCCGCAGTGCCAGGCCCCATTGCTTGTTTTCATTTTTGTTGTTCTGTTTTCCTGAGTCGCACAGAGTGAGCCGTGGTGTCTGCTTCCTTGCAGGCAGCTGTGCATGCTGGCTTGCTTCCTCGTGGGCTGACTGGCTGTGGACCGCAGTCTGCACTGACAGGTGCAGGTGGGTTTGTGTGGAAGCCGCCACGCCTGGGCCGGAGCAAGCTGGGGCTCTCTGCCGCTGCTGCCCCT